AAACCATTCGCCTCTGGAAATAGCCGACAAGTTGGCCATAGCTTGGTTGGTCTTGAAGCTCGCACAAGAATCGGAGCCCCCTGTACCCTGTTTGCCCAGTCACCGTCCCCTGTGCCATCCCATACTCCGATAATAACTTCGTTCGGGAAAGTGTTGAGAATCTCCGGTGGGGGCTTGTTACTGGTGCTGATGATTCGCAACGGAAGGCCCGGACCGCAGCTGTATAGGAAATACCGGCTGTGGTCGTAAAGTATACTGGCATACTGCGATCCCTTCGTGACGCATTCCTCGTGCCGCCTAAAGTCGTCAACAGCCCATCTGTAGGTGGCACCGTCCAGTCCAGCTGATGCTAGATGAACAGAGTTACTGGACCACGCAATCGACGTCACCTTATTGATATGTCCCTGCAATAAATTCGCGGGAGAAAATTAGCACAAGAACTGTGCAAGTACCTTCAATACTGTAAGCACTTCCCACGTAAAGCTCGAGTAGATAACAATCTCACGCCCGCATAAAGCCGCAACCATGTCACCACTTGGACTGTACTTTATTGCTCCACAGCCTTGCAGCGCAACTTCCCTCCGGGGCTCTAGCCTTTACAAGCAAAGCAGGAAGAGGTGATTAGATAACACGTTATTTTCGTTCTGAAGCTCACCGAGAGGCCATGATACCAAACAGCAAGATGCTTGAGTATGCCATTCCCACTGCGAGCTCGTAGCCCCAGGGGCTGATGGCTATGCTGCTTGGTTGCTCGTGACAACTGCAAATGACAGAAGTGAATGGCATGTAGACAAGGATACATGCTTACGCGTAAGTTAAGTCGCACAAAAGTCGACAGTAGCTCCACACCCGCACCATTTTATCGTTACTACAAGTTGCAATCAATCTGCGACGAACGCAAATATCCATTCCAGAAACAGCCGCAAGGTCAATCACTGTACAAAACAAGAAAGATTGTAGAACAATATCTTTCTTCTTACAGTCTACCATGCATGTCCATGAGATCTTTCGGGCCCTCCGACTCAAAGTCCGCATAGTCAACCTTGAGCACAATACCTTCCTGTTATCTAGCGTGGCACAATTTTCAGTTATGACCAGAAAAACCAAAGCATTTACCTGTTGAACATAAGCCAGGGCATCCACATTCGGAGGTAGCGCAATACAGGAAATCGGACCACGAGTTCTGTAAAGTTTAAAGACTGAGGACGAATATCTCAATCATGTTAGGATGTGCACCTAGTAAGAACGGTTCCTGTATAAACAGGAGGTCTTCCACGGGCCTGTGGAGGAAAGAAAGTTCGGATTAATTCTTCAACGAAACAACAACTAAACCTTAAAGTCAGTCAGAGTGCCGTCGTCCCTTCCCGTGAGAAATCCGTTCCGAGTGGCCACTAAACGCAGTGTGTGCCCTGTGTCTACCAGTTTCTGCAGCGAAAACTCTGTGAAGCTACAAGTCCATCTGAAATCAAATACTTACACTCTCTATGCGTCCGTCTCGTACTATCAGTATCATATCCTCTACTGTCGAAACAGCAAGCCCGCCATCCTGGAGCCAATCATGGTCCGTGAGAGTAAGCGCCTGATTAGTGACTTGAAGGCCAGGAACAGCGAAGCTCTTGGTAGTTCCACCTTTGAGGCTCCATATTCTAAAATGTGTAGGCCCTGCATGCTCAAAAGACGTATGAAAACTATTTTACTTGAAAGAAGGACTAACCACAAGTGGCAAACTCGTCGCTATCATGGGGATTCACAGTCACTCCCGTGATCTCCACAAAAATTGGTATAGTCGTCAAAACCTATTGAAAAACAAAAACGTAAGCAGTGAGCATCAATTCTCCATTCTTTTTCAAGCGGACCTTGCCGTGCTCGAGCTCCCAACAGATTACAGAACCTTTCACGTTCTTTGTGACAGCGACTGCCTTTTGCTCGTTCTTCGATAGAGCGCACACTTCAAGCTCTTCAAAACAATCACACCTGTGATGAGAATAACAAAGAAACCAACAACACAATGGTCCCAACATACCAAGAGTGAAATTAATAGCCACCTGCGGGACTTGTGGAGATGAGTGTTTGCACAACTTTGAGCTTCTTTGTGTCGACAATCGAAATCTACAATCGACGAACATGACAGTCCCAGATCAATGATCATAAAAGCACATAAGGAAAAATCTATGCACCTGGCCGTGACCAGTTTTCATCTTCTCACACACTGCAACGAGGCTCCCACTCGGTGTAGAAGTCAGAGAAACGATGCTCTGAAAAAGAAAAGAATAGGAAGAAAGAGTTTGTCTGAATAGAGATCCTTTCTATTCTCTCACCTGGACTCCACTGTTCATGACGATGAAATGCATTGTCTTGTCGAGGAAACTGATCAAGAAAGAAAAAGTAGAACAAATTCTACAAAAGAATCGAAAGGATTGTACTTGTGGAAGACGAGATTGCAGCCGAGAGCATAGGCGATGGTGTGCTCGTCGATGCACACCATTTGCTTGTTCTTCCCGGGAATGGCCTCGAATCCAAACGCGTATCTGCCAAAACCAAGAAAACGCTTGGATTTTCCATCAGGACGAGCGCAACGATGCCTACATTGGCCTCAGAGAGGGGCCGGTCTCCAGCGCCAAATCTCCCTCCTCCATTCCAGAAACAATGACAAAAGAGAGAGATAGGTAGAACCCTAAAACTAAAACTTAGGGTTCTTGCGATGTCGAAGAAGAACAACCTCGCCACGCGCGCCCGGCAGCACGAGTTTGATCTCAAGAGTAGGCATTTGTGATTCTCTGATAGAAATCTCACCTGATTGTGGCTGGCGCAGGGGAGAAAGAACAGCTTGACAAGCAGGCCAAGAGAATTCCAAACCAAAACAAGATGAAGGTATGGATACCATGATTTTATTCGCATTTACGCAGCTCTGTGCTATCGATAGATCGATTCGGTGAAGATCAAGAAGAAAGTTAGCAAGAAGAAGAAGAAGAAGAGCTTAGTGAAGGCAGCGGGGGCTGCCAAAGCCATGGAGATAGATTCTTGATAGAGGTATGAAAAAAATTCCTTTTTCACTGCTTTCTACATCTAGTATTTATTCTTTGCAAAGTTTGCAAGGTAGAATCTTTGGCTCTGTTTTTTCACTGTTTTCGCGAACTTATCTCTCACTCGTGTTTTGTTTTACATGCTTCCAGTATGCTCCATGGAATCAGATTCCGGATTGAAAAGGACAAACACCGTAGGAATATTTTTGCGGAGGAAGAACCTGCGAGCCGGCATGGCTGCTGGTGCTTCTTCCATCGCGAATGTTGGTTCGTTTAGTCTGGAAATCAAGAGGGATCTTTCTAGACAGTCGGGAAGAACATCGAGAGCTTGTGGTGCTTTTACTCTTAAGTGCAGGGCCGCGGCATCTGGAAGGCTTGAAGAAACATGGAGGCCTGCTCCGATGGGACAGATCTCCTCTTACAACGATTCCTGGCTTGACAAGCGGATGATACTCGTCTTCGTTGGAGCCATGTCCAAAATCTCTGGTACTTTGATCGGTTTTGTCTCAGCTTTTTCTAAAGCTCCGTCGTTGTTCTGTGCTGCAGGAAAAACCACCAGCCTTCCTGGGTTTGATGGCTTTGTGGACGTAGCAAGGAAGATGATGCAAGGCCGGACTCCTGTGCAACAGCACGAAATGGTACTGCGAGTATTAGAGTCTCTCATGCCTTGGTGGATCGGAGCTATGGTATGCAGCGGTTTCTTCCAGGTTTTCGAGTTTGTCAACATCTTGTTCACATTTAGCGCCTGACACTATAGGTTCGGACTATCTTGCCGGTATCTAGAGCTACAGCGGAGTTTTATGCTCACGGCACTACACTGTTCACGAGTTGGTTGATTGGACCAAGCGAGGTGTGTTGGTAGTGTTGTTAGTGTCTGTCTCTAAAATTAAACTCAGGTGATCGAAGTGGAGGTTGATGGAGTGAAGCAAAAAAGTGGTGTTCACATCCAGAAATGCAGGCATAGTGTTTGTTCTGTCTCCTTTTTCGTTTTTTATTTAGAATTTTTGCTTCTCGTTTTTGGCATGTAGAGTTTTGGAGCGCTCGGCATGCGTGGGCTTGTGTACCAACATGTGCAAGGTCCCATCCCAGAGATTTTTTGCGAAAGAACTCGGTGTGCCCATGACGATGGTTCCCAGTAAGTTTTTCTCTTCCAACGGATTGGAGCTAAGTTTTTCTAACTTGTAGACTTCGAAGACATGAGCTGTGATTTTATCTACGGCCAGACTCCGCCGCCTTTAGAAGAAGATTCAGCGTCTCGACAACCTTGCTATTACGGAATGTGTAAGAGTTTTTCTTATTTCGTTTTCATTTCTTATTGAGCACTGTTGTTTTCTCTTTTACTCAGGCCCGACTGCAAAAGCTAGAGCGAACTCCTGTCCAAAGTTATAGGTGAAACGCTTGCGTTTAATGGTGAGAAAACGGAGTGTTATCAGTTGTGACTAAGAAATGGTGAAGAAGTTTGTTTTTTCACAAATTTCTGCCTCACGGTGGACTGGTCAGGTGCATCGCTCCGACGTTTATGTCGTAAGTTTTGGGCTTGTATGGTTCAGGAGGAGGGATCTTTGGCACTACTACAGTGAGCAGGCCGTCCTGGCATGCGGCAGAGACGGAGTCGAGAGCTGCGTTTGCGGGCAGATTGAACTTCCGCATGAACTTCCCTGCGGATCGTTCCACCCGCACGAACTTGGTGTCGTAGTGAGAGTTGTCATTGTCGCGCTTGCGATCTCCACTGATCTTGAGAATGCTATCGTTCTCGATCTGGACCTGGTAACGCGTCTCTCGTTTGGATTAACACACTGCCTTCTCTTGACAGGACTCTCGAGAAGAACGAACTTCGAGCGGCCGTAGAACACGAAAAACCCCGAAAACAAGAAGGAAAGAAGGTGCGTACCTTGACGTCCGTGTTCTTCATTCCAGGAACATCAGCGACGAAAACATACGACGCTGGGAGTTCTTTCACGTCGACGGAGGTGCTTGCCATCGCTTACTTCTTTTTCTTCTGCGGAGGTAAAAAAAGCTTCTTTTCAAGTTTCTAGCACGGGAAAGAAAGAACTTACGTCTCTTGGGCTTGTAGTTGCGAAGGAGGCCTCAAAGTCGGCGAGGTCCCTTGGAGACAAGGCAACCGGCGCAGGAGGATCGACGTACTTGGTGTAGTCGAGGGTGATCTGCGTGAGCACGAGAGACGGCTGCCTCTTCGGCTTGGGTGGCGGTCTCCTGGGCGGCGATGGAGGCTGGAGCTTCCCAACGAAAACACCGCAAGTGGTGTCCCGGTCGTAGATGGAGCGGTAATCGACGTGAGCGTCGCGGTTCCAGATGGGCCGCTTGAAATTTTGGACTAGAACTGGAGGTACACAGTTCTTGTGACCGGATTTGTTTGGCTTTTCTTGATGCTGCTGCTGTTCCTGCGGATGATTTTGCTGCTCTTGATCTTGCTGCTGCTTTTCAGGATCGGCGTGAAGTGAATCGCTTGCTGCAGCCTCGACTTGGACCGGAACCTCGCTCGCAGGCTCCGTGATGAGAATGGAACTGCGATGATTTCCAGTAAAACCGGTACGTCACCTTTGGACACTCACCGGTCGCGACTGTTGACATTTAACGTTTTTTTAACTCAATTTATTATTAAGTATTATCTAACCTCTTAATTATCAGGAGACAAAGCAGTTTTTATGTTTATCGAGGCAAAGGAACAAGCTTCAAGGGAAGTGCACGGGGAATGGTGAATCCAGCTCCCTCACTCATATCCAAATGCTCGAAGCTCATACCGTCTGGCATTTTCCAGTTGAAGCCATACAACAAGCTCGCCAACGTAACCGAAACCACTGTGAGTGCCAGATGCATACCAGGACAACCACGTCGACCAGCTCCAAATGGAAGGTAATCTCCAAAGTCGTGACCACAGCCATCGTTTTTCTTATCTATGAACCTGTTCGGATCAAACTTCAGAGGGTCGACCCAGGTACTCTCGTCCCTGCCCAATGCATAGAGGTTGATAAAGGCTAGAGTTTTTTGTGGTACAAATACGTTCTTGAGCTGACAGTTTTGTGTTGTCTCGTGGATAAGCAGCGGACCCGGTGGATGGAGCCGGAGCGTTTCTTTGATCACTGCAGCAAGATATTCGAGCTTGGGAAGGTGACCCCCCTGAACCTGAGACTTTCTTCCTAGAACGTTGTCAAGTTCTTCCTGTGCTTTAGCCATCAAATCTGGATGCTTCAGTAGCTCAGCTAATGCCCATTCCACAGTGATAGCACTCGTGTCTGTTCCTCCAGCAATCATATCCTGCAGAAGTTTTTCAAGTTGTAAGCCCGCTAGCTCAAACAAGGCTACTGTCTGTCCTTACCGCAATCACAGCTTTGATCGCAACATCATTGCTTCCAATTTCTGGGCTCTGTAACATAAGTGTCATGAAGTCAGCGGACTTATCATTCTGATTATGGTGTTCTTCAATCTGCTTCTGCAAATAGGAGCTCATCTGTTCTTTCAAAGCTTTCATACGGGATTTCTTCTTTGTGTCGAGCAGGCTTAGCCAAGGCAAATAGTCTCCAACTAGAAACTCACCTGTGCTAACAAAAGCTTCAGCGATCAGTTCCTTTACCGTGCTTGTTTCTTTGTCTACAGTCGCGCTACTCGTCCCAAGCACGATCCTCATCATGATATTTAGAGTCATGTTCAGAAGCATGGCTGTCAAGTCTGCAGCTTCATTCCTGTTTGCAATGTCGCGAAGTTGACTCACGAAACGCGATCTTTCTTCGGCTCGAATGGACTCGAAAGAGTCCACCCGTCTCGGTGTCAGCAGCTCCAAGATGCACAATTTCCTCACCATTTTCAAATGTTCCCCGTAAGGTGCCCACAGCACACCTGACCCATTGAAACCGAAAATCCTAGCTGCTGAAAGCGCTGGCCTTGATGAGAAAGCGATGTCATGGCCTTGGAGCGCTTCTTTAGTGACTTCCGCAGAAGAAAGCACCAGGCATGGATACTGACCCAGCTTGAGATACATGCAGCGTCCAAACTCTCGAGCAAGTGCGAGAAGAACACGATGAGGATCACGTCTGAGCAAGTGAAGATGACCAATTACCGGAAACATCCTTGGACAAGGTAGGCCTTTGTATCTTTTTGACGGGTACAAGATCCTCACCAAGCACCAGACGGTTCCTAGTATTGCGAGCAGGGAGAAGATAGACAGAGACCAGTAGTGAAACTCCATTGAGTTATTGCCAGAAGAATAGCTAAAAGAAGAATAGCTAAGAACTTCTGTAGACTGTGGGCAACAGACTTGTGTAGAATTGCTGTTAACAATGCCCTGTTATCTTGAATACTGCTCAGGAAATCCCCTGACGAGACCTTTATATCATAAGTTCAAGTTCCACATTGCTGGCTGTTGCGGCCAGAAATATTAATTTCAGCATCCAGACAAGTTGAGCCCAAGAAAAGGACTGAGCAACTTTCGCATTTATATGGCGGACGTGCGGTCTGTTGGCAACATCATTCACTGTAGCAGTCAGTTGCGGCTGGTCAGGCATTCACACAGTTACATTGGTAATCTGCTTCTTTTGTATTCATGAATCTGAAAAACGATCCACCGCAAACCTATGCGATCAAAAAGAATTAATAGCCTTGGTGATTAAGAATCATTTTATTCATTAGCATAGAATGTAAATAAAAGTCAAGAAAACATTTCCGAGTGTTAGGAAAAAAATTTTGAGTCTTCAGGAAATCTTTCTTGAATCCCGCAATTTTGAGTATTCTTAACCTCAAGAAGAGTTCCAAAAAGCAGTACTACTTAAGGCTGATTTGGATGCTGGTAGAAATTGAAAGAAATTAAAAGTTGTATAAGAATATTCGAATACTTTAGAGCCTTATAAAGTTGAAACATTAGGTTAAAAGGAAATGGACGATAGTCCAGAATTAGGGCTGGGTGACGAGGGTGGGTATATATAATTAGATTAAATGTTTTTGACGCTGCCATAGCCCTATTTCGATCCAGCCATTGTAAATTCTCAGCAACCCATGGGTAATCTGCTTCTTTTGTATTCATGAATCTGAAAACACCGCAAACCTATGCGCTCAAAAAGAATTAATAGCCTTGGTGAATAAGAATCATTTCATTCATTTGCATAGAATGTAAATAAAAGCCCAAACACATATCCCATAACCCAGGTATGGGCGGGTATAGAAATTAAATGTTTTTAAAGTGAAGACGCCTGCTAATGACGCTGCCATAGCCCTGTATTTCGATCCAGCCATTGTAAATTCTCAGCAAGCCATGGGCACACCATCCCTCTGGTGCTTCCAGAATGGCTTCTAGCGTCACAAAATGCTTTCCATTGATACATGCATAGCCTCCGGAATGGTAATGCCCTGCAAAAGCGAAAATCGAGAATTACACAGATGGTAGTGTGTAAAGTTGTTATTCTTACCGCAAATATACAGCACAACCTCAGGACTTCCCAGCAGCGTTGACAGTATCTGAAGACAAACAAGATGATCAAAGAAGATTTACAAGCTTCTTGGCTAACCTGGTGATGGTTCCAGGCCAAATGCTTTGGTGGTGAGGAGCCAGCGACGATTGGGTGATGTCCACAAACTATGAGCTTTGTGTTGCTCCTACACACAAAGCACAAAAGCTTTAGACAACAAACTGGAAATGGTCATCGTCGTCATACCTTTGTGCATCTCGGACAGCATTGCCTAGCCACTCTCTCTGCTTTGAGCCAATGCCTCCATTCCAGAGGGCCATTTGCGGGTGATCAACACCAAAAGGATGGGATTTTTGGAAATCTAGAGCTTCCTGCCATGATCAAGGATGTTCGTTCTAGCTGCGAACTTTGAAGAACTGAGAAATAACCTTATAGTTTGGTGTGTGTTCGGGCCATTTGACACTCATATCCATCGTATCCAGCACCACCTGAGAATATAAAAAAGAAAACGCTAAAGTTATCAAACTTTAAGAGAATGCAATGGTACCAATCTCCAGCCCGGGCACAAGTCGCGCTGGTAGTAAAAGGCCGGGATCGAAAGTTTCTGCTTTAGGAGCTCTCTGGGCAGTGACAAGCAATGGTTTCCAATCAGATGAACAGCTTCCAGATCGAGCTACAGTGTCAGACATAAGAATTAAAAGCAAAGGATTTGACTCCCAAATGCTTGTTACCTTTTGAAGCTCAGCCAGAACGACGTCAAAGTCTTCCATTGTTTTCTCCTTGGTCGTGTTCCCATCCACAATGTCGCCCAGTGATAGCATGAATCTGGTAATTGAATCGTTTAGATCAACCAGCGACATTGGAAACTCTAGCTTACAAGAGCTCGTCCTTCTTGAGATTGAAAAAATCTATAGCTTTGGCAAGCTTTCCTGCAGCCTCTCTGTATCTCCTGGTCTTGCCATTGGACGCCACTGCGAAGGCGAAAGCACTGTATATGTTATCAGAAGGAAGGAAATACTCACATTTGTCTTACCAATGTCAGCTTTGTCGCCGTATTGAACATCGGCTATCAGTCCAAACGAAGCTAGAGGCTCCTCTGACCGATCTTCCATTTCCCTGGGTTTCCCTGTAGCTCAAAACCAAGACAAGAAAGCTTCAGGCTAAAGGTCTCATAATCAAAGTTGATTATTTGAAGTCCAGAAATGAAAGTCTTCACTTTGCAGCCGAGATCTGGAGCTCCCGGCTTGTAACAGTTCCATGCCCATGAATCGTGATCTTGTCCTCGTAGACACTCACAAATCCGTGGGCATGAGAACCTGTTGGTGCTTCCAGAATGGCTTCTACCGTAACAAAGTGCTTGCCAGAAACACAAGCATATCCACCAGGATGATAATGGCCTGTTGATAGAAAGATCAGAACACGAAGTAAGGAGTTCTTGTATTTTCTACTCACCACACAGGAATAGAACCACTGCAGGACTTTCCACAAGCATAGTCGAGATCTACACCCGAAACAAAGTCAAGAGAGAGTTGAATGAGAGCCTGCTTTTTTGAGATTTACTTCATTGTGGTTCCAGAGAAAATGCGTGCTTGGAGCTGAGCCTTGTATCAAAGGATGGTGTTGTGCAACAATGAGTTTCACGTTGTGCCTGGAAAGATTATGGATCGGTTTTCCACAAGCAAATATTAGAGCGACCAAGACCTCTCTGCGTCAGTTAAAACTTTCCGTAGCCAGTTCTTTTGCTCTTCGCCAATCCCACCGTTCCAAAGGGACATTTGCGGGTTCTCGTCACCCAGGGGAAACAACTTGAGAAATTCTTGAGTCTCCTACAGGTACAAATATTAATTTCAAGCAAAGAGAAGATATAAAAACCATGCTCTGTAATTTGGTGTGTCGGATGACCAAGTTGAGCTCAGATCCATAGAATCTAGCACCACCTACAGAACAAATGATATCAGCGAAAACAAGCTACTACACTTTACCAGTGCCCATTTGTGACCAAGACTTCGTTCGTAGAAACGAGCTGGGATCTTCAATTGTTGCATGAGAACCTCTCGCGGTAGTGAAAGGCAGTGATTTCCCAGGACGTGATCTGCGGGCACTTGCAACTGGAAACGTAGCTAAAACAATCAAACCAGACGCCAAAACAACTATTACCTTGCTCAGCTCATTCAGGACAACATCAAAATCTTTTCTAGTGAGCTCCAAGCTCTCGTTGCCATCAATGATGTCGCCAAGGGTCAGAACGAAACTGGAACTCGAAGATTAAAACAAGAAGCAAACAATTTGGACAGGAACCCTCTATGCTTACGAGATTTCTTCTTGTCTCGCATTGAAATCCGAGATCGCCAGTGCTAGTTTTCCAGGAGCCTCGCGATAGCGTTGACACCGGCCCTCAAAGTCTAGAAGAGGGACGAGGAAGGAATTAGTTCCAAACTTGTTAACCATAGACTTACTTCCGTCATCTTTGTCCGCGTGTTGGACATCCGCTACCACTCCAAAAGAGAACAAAGCTGTCGCCATAGTTCACACAAAACCTAGAGAGCAAAAATTTTCGATTCACTTTAAAAACCTCTGGTTCTTCAAGGAGTGGCTTCCTCTGGAACCACAATCAGAGTTGCTTGCTTGCCATAAGCTCGCTTCACCACAACCTTGAAACTCACTCCAACTTTGTCTCCCAGCAAGTCCACAATCTGAAAACTCTCGGTTCTTAGTTTGTAAAGAAAGTATGAGAAACAAGCCAACCTGGCTCACTGAGTCGATGGGCTTCCCATCAAACTCCACGATCACGTCTCCTGGTCGAAGGCCACCTTTCTCAGCTGGGGAGCCAGGAATCACCTGACAAACTGTGTGTCAAGCTTAGCATACGGCCAAAGAGATGGGATTTTACCTGTGGTACCAAAACACCCTTGGACACGTTTGGAAACGACGGATCTCGGTCCTTGAGCTGATCGATGATTGCTTCGGTGAGTTCCAGCATTTTGATTCCTAGCCAAGGTCGCACGACATGCCTGCCAACACAAAATCACAATCAGAGTACAAGCACAACAAGATTATGCCTACCCGTGCTTTTTGAGCTGGTTCATGACTTTCACAGCGGTATCGATGGGGATTGCAAAGCTCACACCATCCGCAGCCATCGCCTTTATCGTGTTGATCCCAATGACTTCTCCATCCATGTTGAGCAGTGGACCACCCGAATTACCCTGTAAACCTTGTACCAACATTCGTAAAAATGAACACAGCAAATCAACGAGTATAACAAGCCTGATTGATTGCCGCGTCGGTTTGTATGTAATCCGTGGTCGCACCATGCAAACCAATCTCGCTACTCTTTCTTTCCACTGCACTGCATATAACACCGGAGCAGGAAAAGTTTAAAAGACTACAACTCGCAGCTGAAACGCTTTGTCACCTGATTATCCCAGCAGTGACAGTGTTCTGGAGATGTAGAGGACTCCCTACAGCGATCACCCACTCGCCTGCTCGCAGCTTTCGCGACGAACCAATTTTCACAGTGGGTAGTGGTGCTTTGGACTTGATCTTGACCACGGCAATATCCGTTATCATGTCGAAGCATACGAGCTCGCCAGTAAAAGTACGTCCATCGTGCAAAGTGACAACAATCTGACGATACGGCATAGAAAGCGTTAGCGTATGCTTGAAAGAAAAGAAAAACATGGTTAAGAGTTTGTTTTCCACACCTTGCCTGAGTGAGAACCTCTTCCCGCCTCAGCAACAACATGCGCATTTGTCAGGATGGTCCCGTCTGACTGGATGATCGAGCCAGAGCCGGATGATCTTGCCATGAATACGTTCCTTATTCCTGGAGTTTTCAGCTGGTTAGAACTGGTTAGAACTTGCCAAGAACAAAGAATCGAAAGGAAGAAAAATGCAGAAGAAGTCTCTTTTCTAGGAGAAATCCAGTGCTTACCAACATCCACAGTTATGTTGACGATTCCAGGGGCAGCCTTTGCAGCGGCGTCAGCGATGGTGTATCGTGTCAGGAAATCTCCTGTTTCAGCTCTTGATGGACGTAAGCTCAAGTCTTCCGAATAAGCAATGCTGTTCTTTCCAAGCAAACTCCACATGATATTGCGTTGATTCATCATCATTCCAGTGTCGAGCCAGTCGAGGGGATCTACGGAGGGAGAGGAAGAAAAGAAAAAACATGAGCACAGAGAAGAAAAAATAGAGACCTTGGTAGAGCCAAGTAACAGCAGCGATCGCCCCGACTTTGGCAGCACTGCTTGGAGCGATATTGCTATGCTAGATGAAAAGAAGCGCCCCAAGGGATGATCAGCGGGAGGAAATTTACAAACGATAATCTTACCAGGAATGTGGAGCTCACACCGCGAAGACGCGACCACCACCGGTGTGCCATTTGTTAGACAAAGCCCTAAGGACAAAAAAAAAGGGTTTATGGTTTACTACCAAATAGAAGAAAAAGCCAATACTATTCGCAGTTTAAGCTCAGTTACCGATGAATTGGTAACTTCCACTTTCAAGATTTCATGAAGGCCCACGGAGAACCACCCTGTAGTCTGCACAAGCTGTAGCATTCTTGAACGAAAATGAAACATGACAAGCCTGATTGATCCGCGATGTCGATCTATAACTTCTTCTGTCCACTGCGATGCAAATCTCGAAACGCCCTTACCCGGTAGAGCCAAGCTTGGAGAGCGGTGTTTTGAAGTTTCCAAGCGAAGAATACACCAATCTGATACATTACGGGGAGCATTAGCGTACGCAAACGCATCAAGAGTTCCTTGCCTGGATCGGAGTCAAGAGCCTCGTGTTTCGGGCGTAAGAAGTGAAGTTGCTCTCCACAAGGCGTTGCGTATGCACTGCTAGGCAAAGCATAAGTAAGAGAAAAAAATACCAAGAGATTGCTTACCAGATATTGACAGAAAGGACTTGGTTCACAGTTTAGCTACCTCTCGCATGAACTCGTCGATTTTGCCAAGAACAGCAGTCGTCTCTGAGACTTCGAAACTGCATTGTGATAGCACCAGCTCTATCATCACTTGAAAACTTTCACCAAAAGTTTGCGCTCCTGTTCCTCCCATAGATTTCTGCTTTTCCGAACTCGTTATTAAGCTCTTCTGCTGGTGGCGAGCTTTTCGAAACGACTACAAAAAGAAAAGAAAATACAAATGAAAAAAAAAGGAAAGTAGTGTTTTGTTTTACCTGATAATGGTCGGACAGTGCCTTGACTTGCTCGCTCTCGAGGCACTTCATGCGAAGCAGCTCGAGGAAAAAGCAGACCTCCCAGAAGTATACTTCACGACCAGGCAGTGCTGAAATGACGGACGTGATCCTCGAAGATGCGAAAGCCGAAGGAAACCAGTTGTAATTCTTCGAAATCTTGAGCAGTGAGATGAGTAGCTTCATCCTTGGCTCGACTGAGCTGCCTTTGGTGCATAATGAAAGTTCACGGGTGATCTCCTTCGCCAAGAAACAGTACCAGGGACTCTCTTCAACCGTCTGCTTCTGCTTCGCTGTGAGATGTTTGCTCGTCAATAGTGATAGCAAGCATGATGACGCGTTTATCTGGACGACGTCGTTCTCGTCAAGAACGAATCCTTGAAGCAGCAGAAGCATTGACTTGAGGGACGATGGATTGAACACAGAATCGAGGCGGGCAGTCGATACTGTCAGGTGTCGAAACTTCTCTGACAGGCAACAGAAAGCGAGAAGTCGAGGCAAATCCGGCTTGGAGTATATGATGCGGCATAGATTTTCGAAAGAGAGCGCTCCAGTTTCCTCTAGATCTCCATTCTTACACCTGGCAAATCGGAGGTGTCAAAACTGCATTAACAAACTTCAGACACTACTTACTGTTGTAGCCACAAAAGCTGGAAAACTAGAGCAAGGCACAAGCTCTGTTCATCCTCCGCATTACACGAGTCTTCCTCCAATGAACCAGTGACACGCTGCGTTAGAGCCGCGCAAAACTCCTTGTTGTTAAATATTTCTGCAGCAGCGTCGGAGAGAAAGCTCAGCCCCGAGGAAAATTGGTAGCATAACAGACAAAGAAAAGCCAGAATGGAAATAGTGAGGCTGTGCTGGGAGCAGTCTTGTCTTCGAATAAAAAGATACATTGTCTGTAAACCATCCAATGTTAAAATGAAGATAAAGAAAAAGAGAAACACATTACCTGATTAACTATGTCCTGCCACAGTCCACTCTTCCTCCTCGTACTTTCTGGCGTTAGTGTGTGAAGCAGCCGAACAAGCAGCTCAATGAACGGAATCAAGGTTGACGCCGGTACTTTACTGCCGCAAAGGATGTACCAATTACGCATGTTGGATATGATGTCTTTCTGATGGAACCGATTCGCAAGCTGGCCCTTCAACTCCAAGATACGCTTTAACACCGTCGTAAGCATCTCCATGTCGTCCCCAATGTTCTCCAGAGCTACTTTGTGGAGTAGAGAGTTGACAAGAACAACGCCGTTTTCATGCTCGACTACGCTGCAAAGTGCTTCAAGATCTGGTGTTGCATCGACTTGGGACGATGACGCTGCACGGAACAGATTGTAAATATGGCGCGAGCATAGCGACTTCAGTCCCTCCTGAGAAAGCATCCAGTCCCGAACGGACAAGGGGATCTTAGCAGACAAGCTGACAGAAGTCCCGTTGTGTTGGATCGACGTCACGAGCAGGTACTCCGCTTCGACACTAAAAACCGCTTTCAAGGAAGAGTCCTGCTTGAGTATTGCGTACAGACTGACAACTTGAAGCAGACACTTGGTGTGCACCTGAAGACTTAATGCGTGGAGCAACACAAACTGCTCAAGCGAAGCAAGAAGCTGCTCTTGATCAACTAGTCTGCAACACAAGATCAAAGATCAATATTGCTCGCGAGAACGCAAACAAAGAGAACTGGACCTGTCATGATGCATGTAGCTCGTGTAGATAATCGAGACGACAGCCGGGTGAACAGTTGGAATAAAAGCACCGCTCTGCTCGAGTAGAGCAAGTAAATCGTCAGGATCTGTAGGCAAAACACGTATCGCTGCTAAAATGCTGTCGTCCGTTTTATCATCTTCGTCAAGAGCATCGATTATTGTTGCCACGAAAGTTAGTACGCGTTTCTTAAAGATCTCTGACCTGAAGCGACCTGTGCTTGCAAACCCGAGACTTAACCACTTGTCTCTTGCCAGCCTCTCTGAAATCCCCAATGCGTTGTTTCCTGAAGCTTTGGTCTGAACAACGGCAGTCAAAAACGCAAATATAGCCTCCGCTGCGACTTCGTCCTCCAAAGCTCGTGTTCTCTCTGCTAGAAATGGAAGGAGCTTGTTTTCGAAGGTACTGAAAAAGCCTGATGTCCTTCTATCACGCTTGACTTCGAAGACAAAAGCATGCTGAAGCAGAAAGAGGGAGCATATAAGAGCCTTCGGCTGAAGAAAGCGGTCGTAGAGAATACTCGTCATTACGTTGGTTAGCATACTGAGTACACGTTGAGGAAGCGAAGAAATACTTGCAAATCCTGGCACATTCAGCAGCGCGATCATGGCCATGCAAGCAGCACCGTAAGTGCCAGACGACAAGCTCATAGCCCCCTCAACCATCTCTGCATCTTGCACGCGATCCCCATGCTGCTGCAATATGCTGGACAATGTTGCAAATATTTGTTCTGCCTTGGAGGAGTTGACAGAACCAGGACACTCGGAAAGCCCAGCTGCTAGCAGTTGTAAAGCATCTTCCTGTACAGAAGCAAAACCCGCTCCACTTGAGTGCTCGAGAACACGGACTATAGATTCAACCCCCAACATTAAACGTTGAGAGAAAACACGTTTTGCCGCAGAGAGTATAGAGAGGGCGCGGATTGCTGTCACGGCAAGAGTAGATAAACTTTCTGGTTTCCAAAACTCAGGTCAGTCAAGAAGATGACGCGTACGTGAAGGATAAAATTAGCTGACCTGATACTCTTAGGACCTCAAAGATGTAATCCGCGATGCCTTCTTCGACGAGAATAGCCAATTCCTTAGAGATATCAACGTCTTGCGGGCATATAGCGCAAATAAGCTGCAACGAAGACAACTGGACCTGGGGGTCCGATGACAATAGCGACCCCTTGATGGCTTCGGCGAAAGTTGTCACGAAATCGAGATTACCCCGACTGGAAACGGCATCGCTGTTCTGGCTCTCCTGTGATTCGTTTTCTTGGTTACGCAGCTGAAAGATACTGTTCTTCGCCAGCACAGATAGAAGAGCTTTAAAAGCACAAAGTTTCTGACATGAGCGAGCGAAAGAAAGAGAGTTCCGATAAGAAACACGTACCTATACCATTTGTTCTGATTTCATCGCTCTCAGCCTTCAAGAGAACTGCCACTGTGAGAGTGATGATTTTCTGGAACCAGTTCGAAAGTTTGTCCATGCCACCTTTGAGACTAGAGATCCTGAATAGAAGAAAAAGAACTTCTCCTTTGATATCGTCACTACAAGAACTTTTAGTGACAACCATGCTCAGATAGTTAGGAGCCAACCATACCAGGCATGTTGTAGAGCCAAGACCATGTTTTCCATCAAATCCTGGAATTGGATTGTGCTGGGGACGAAAGAATCCATCTTGCTATGAAGATCGAGAAGAAGCCCCATCGTGTGTAACTTCCAAAGAAAAATGGAGATAGAAATCGAGTGATGCAAGAAAAAGAAAAGAGAATGGATTGCCTACCGTGAATCGCTGGCCCTTGCTCCACACGATCGTGGACCGGGCGCCAAGCTGCATCGACACGAACGTGATGAAATCGTCGAGCAGCGCCCTGTCCTCCTCCACGGTAGATCGGCAGAGGCTGAGGATGAAATCCACCGTGGCCTTCGCCAGCGCCTCGTCATGGCAGAAGAACACCGACTGGCACAGCGGCCCGGCGAGGAAATGCGAGTGGTAGCGCAGGAATCCATCGCAAAACTCCTCGTCCTCGAGGCACCGGGAGAGCTCCGCCAGCGCGTACGCCTTGTGCGTGACGAACGACGATGGATCCACAAGAAGCTCCGCGAGACACCCCAGGCAGATCCCCCCGCCGCCTGGCGACGTAGAGAGGAACAACCCCTGCGCGTGCCCGCGGCGACACCCAGCACCCATCATCACATTGCCTTAAACCCTAGCAAAAGCCCTAAAACCAAGCGCGGGAAAACTCAAAGATCTTACTGTGCCACGTCATCACTGGCCATGTCATTACTAAGCCCTAAAAGTAGGATCATTGCCACGTCAGTACTACGTCACGACACGCGTCAGCAGTTAACGGAAGAGGAAACGGCGGTGGCTTTCCCCATAAAAAATTTTCAATGGGGGAAGAAGAGGAAGCTGGATCTGGCGCATTAGGTCAGGGCTTGGATCCGACGATGGATCCCAATCCCACGGCGCCACGCAAGAATTTCGGCGATTTCCAGTCGCGATCGTCGGCGCCATCGGCGATGATTCCTCTCGGGGTTGAGACCGCGCATCGGGCGCATTGTCATTCGTCTAATCTTTCTTTTTCGTCGCAGCAGCAGGGACGGCGGCATCGATCGTCATCTCTTGTCGTCATTATCGTGGAAGGATTCCTGTGATCCCATCGAATTCCGCGGTGGATCGTCCACGCAGGCGATTCGCCCCGTCCCCGTCGTCCATCCACGCTCGTGCAGGTACTTCGGGCTTTTTTTTCTCTAGCAAGGGTTAAGATTTAAAGGGAGGGTTAATCTAAACCGAGGGTTAGGATTTAAAGGCTCC